ACAATACTTAGCTTTTCTAAAAGAGTCAAAAATCCACTTAAGTCCTTGAGTGTCTTTGTACTTAGCATCTTAGTAGTGTTAATCTTGAGTTGTATTGGGGTAGAGTTTGGGTAAACTCTAGAGTGTTTGAGTTGCTTTGAGTGAAGCAAGGAGAAAGAGAAGATTAGAGTGCTCAACTGATTGAGGGATCAGTTGAGGGGGAACTTAAGTTCGTTGAGGAACTTGAGTTTAGAGTCTTAATTTGTAATAGGTTGTTTGCCCTATTATTATTAAGAGTTGAGTTTAAAATCCCTTGTGGTCGTGGTTTTTCTTCTTGATTAGGGCCAAGAAGTTTTCCACGTAAAATCTCTCTTGCACTTTAAAGTTTTTGTTGAAGTTTATTTAAGAATTTCGCAAAAATTACCCTAGTTCCTCCACAATACAATTCACCCCCCCCCCCTCTTGTATTGTTCATTCGAGTCAACACATTGGGACCATACTCTCTTGCTTGATCGATCCACAAAAATAAACAACAAACTATACTAATCACGAGTACGTGAAAAAAATATACATGTCCAAAAAAAATGATTACAAATTTCTCTTTTAAAAATGGGTAGTTTATTCAGTGGGTAGATGGTTTTTTCCGTTGATATGGTCCTTTGATTTCTAACATTGTTAAGTACCTTGTGGTAAAATAGTAAATGCTTCGGGACACAAATGAAAAGATTGATTGGTGACAATAACAATACAATCTAGCTAATCAATGTTCACCTTGGTGAAACAGGAAGATGTAGAGCTGATGGCTGATCTTGGACTCAACAGTTATCGTTTCTCCATATCATGGGCTAGAATTTTACCAAGTAAGCTCATGTTTATACTCTATAGTCTAACATAAAAACAGCTTACAGGTAGTTCTAAAACTGATCATTGTCACTCAATTTACGTATGCAACAGAAGGAAGATATGGAGTCGTCAATTTAGCAGGCATCAGATTTTACAACCAGCTCATTGACACTCTACTTGCTAAAGGTTTGTTCTAAGATACAAAACTGTAACAAACATTTTACCTTTTACTTCGGCTAAGTAAACTCATCCGAGTTTTTTTTACTTCCGTATGAGCAAGGGATTCAGCCTTTTGTGACACTGAGCCACTACGACATCCCTCAAGAACTCGAGGACAGATATGGCGGATTGCTTAGCTCTGAAATACAGTAAGCACATATGAAGCATGAAACCAATTATGCATTATTCTTCGAAAATAAAACATTGAATAAGTTCAGAATCCTTAAGTGCTTCGAAATGAGAAGAGTACTGAAATATTGATACTTGCAGGAAGGATTTTGAATACTACGCGAATATCTGCTTCAAATACTTTGGGGACAGGGTAAAATACTGGGTCACCTTCAATGAGCCGAATGTAAATACTATTTTTGGGTACCGTACTGGTGAATACCCACCAAACCGGTGTTCAGGCTTATTTGGAAACTGTTCGAAAGGAGATTCTGAGAAGGAACCCTTCATTGCAGCTCACAATGTTATCCTTGCTCATGCGGCTGCTGTAAACCTGTACAGAACCAAATACCAGGTAACGGTAATTGGAAACTATGCACAAGAATCTGTACCTGTTTTATTAGTACGAAGTATATGAGTTTGTTGTAATTAAACTGCTGAGTACTATACTACTATTAGGCCGGCTTGGTATCAGTAAATTTTCATCAGCGATACATATACCAGTCATGTTAAGCATGAATATAACAGCAGAAAACAGGAAAGTACTTTTCCTGAGCTAACAAACCTGCTATAGAGTATGATGTATTATTTGCTTTAGTTTGCAAAAAAACATTTACAAAATTGTGATTAATATTGTAAAACATGCAGGAAAAACAAGGAGGTATAATTGGGATTGTTGTTAGTGCCGTATGGTATGAACCTATCAGCAACTCGCCATTCGACAAGTTTGCAGCTGAAAGAGCTCAGTCTTTCTTCATGAATTGGTATCCTAATTGCTTCACTGTCATTACTCTTACATATATTTGGAAAAGGGAATAAATGATAAGCGCCTTTTTGTACAGGTTTTTAGATCCAATCATGTATGGAGAATACCCAGCAGAGATGCGAAAGATTCTGGGACCAATTTTACCAAGATTTTCAAAGAACGAGAAGAGGATACTAAATAAAGCACTCGATTTCATTGGTATCAACCACTACACTAGTTTTTATGCCCAGGACTGCATGTTCACAAGGTGTAAATCTGGACCTGGAGTTACCTGGACTGAAGGTGCATACCTGAGAACTCCATATAAAGAAGGCATCCTAATCGGCGAACCAGTAAGCAATCTTTGCAAATCAAAAAACCTCGCTCTTTTTTACTTAGATTGGATTGCAGAAAAGAGCCAACAGATTGTCATAAGCTCAAATAAGGGCAGCAAAATTCAATTCAAAACAAAGAAACAATAGGCTGTAGATCTTAACATACTACGTTCTTGGGTGACTATATCATTGTGTTTTTCATTTCAAATTGATACAGACAGCAATGGATTGGCTGTACATCCACCCTCAAGGAATGGAAAAAATGGTTACCTATGTGAAGGACAGATACAATAATACACCCATGTTCATAACAGAAAACGGTAAGCTGGTGAAGATCGTAGTAATTCGAGGAGCCATTCCATTGCATTTTTGTGTCTTAAGTCAATTCCTTACTAACACATAAAATTCTATCTGGCAGGGTTTGTTCAAGAAAGCAATTCAAGTACTAGTGTCGCCGAACTACTGAATGATTCCAAGAGAGTGGAATACATGGCTAGTTACCTGGATTTACTCCTAAGTTCTATCAAGTAAGTCAGCAGTTCAATCTGTAAAGGAAAATGAGCTTCACTTTCATAAACAACAACAACAAAGCCTTAGTCTAAGTGATTTGGGGTCAGCTAGCATGAACCATCATAAGGAATTGTACGATATAAAGAAAAGGACAAAGCCTTTGTCCCAAATGAGCTTCACTTTCAAACTAAAAGAAAAAATCTTCTGATTCTTCTCTATTACTCCACCTTAAACGTCACATTGTCCTTAACCCTCATAATTTTGGATTCACCACAATTTCACTAAAATCACCATAATCTATTTCTGTTTCAGAAACTCTGACAAATTTTTCTTGACATTTGATGATATCTGTGACTATTTTTTTGAATGGAGTATTTTGTCGAGGCAACTAATTTTGCATCTCATACTCCTTATGAGCAGGAAAGGAGCAGACGTTAGAGGATACTTTGCATGGTCATTGCTTGACAACTTCGAGTGGTTATATGGATACACCAGAAGATTTGGGCTATATCATGTTGATTATAATACATTGAAGAGAAGTCCAAAATTATCAGTTGCTTGGTACAGAAACTTCATTGCCAAGCGTAGAACACAGACAATAATGAAGCGGGGTAGAGGTGAAGATGTCTTACAATCAACTTAAGACTTCTAACAGAGAAATACATAAAAACATCATAAAGAATAATCTTAGTACTCAGACACCTTGTACCTATGTCTTACCAGTGAAGAATGACATATCTGTATCCATATCGACGTTTGTACATGTCAAAGTAATAAAGGTCAGAGAATCAAGAAAGCGGAAAGGTGGTAACTGATAAGCCTTAACTTCTTCCGCCCACAAAGTCGCAGGTTTGATTCGAGTCAAGGGATACCAGGTTATGGGATAGGTTGTATTCAGTGCCTGATACAAGTTGTAGACATTTGTATAAGGCATCTACATCCGACTACATGAATACATCATTGCTATCACGCCATAAACGTATACTTGGTATATGAAAGTAACAGTTAATATTATACTTCTAAAAAGTCGTACCAAGCTACCAATGCGGCTGTATGGTTGATGTTACTTGAGCTCTTCATTTCAACGCGACACTAGGACACACGCAGGACACTTGGACCTTTCAATCTTTCATTATCATGAATCTTTCTTAAAGGACCTGCCCTTTTCAAGGCGCAGGGGACAAATGTTTTTAGGACCATACATGATAATTATGGTACAGGTGTATAATCATGAAGCAAGCAACTACTACATTTAGCTAATAACATCAAAGTAGAGTGGTTTAATTTAGCTAATATTAATATAGTATGTTTTGATTGGATATTTGATGGGTTTGAAGAGACAACATGATGGCTCAGTCCACCTAGTATAACTACAACATTAACCATGGATTCTTTGCCTTAATTTAGTCCACTAATGACATATAGGTGTCTAAATTTAGAGAAAAAGTAGCACTATTACATGGAATCTGGGAGCAGTAGGATGGATGAGAGATGGGTGGGGCTTAAAGTTGATTTTATCAGGCCATTAACCGGCCAAGAAGGAATTTCCCGAGGAGGCGGGAAAGATAAGGGGATGCCAACCCACAAGGAAACCCGTCTATTTAGACTGATAGCTAGATCCTTATTCAGAAAACCACCACAATACCCAACACGTTAGGATAGTAAAAATTTAGCTTCTAACCTCATACTACCTCTGTCCCTTATTGTTTGCAGCATTTGACCTAAAAAGCTCTCATAAAAAGTGGACCCATGGTGCAAACAAAAAGGGACGGAGGGAGTAATTAGGAAGTGAGAGCTGTACGGCTGTACCACTACGCTTACACTGCCATACTGTAACAGATTTTGGGGTTGCTGTTCCGCCAAACCCTGTAGCAGATGGCACCAATGAAATTCACGTTGTGAATAATAGCCGATAAGGTAAAGAATAGGACTGATTTGCTAGTTGTAAGTCATCAACACTTCACAACCACCATTGGTTAATCAAGTTTCTGTTTCAACTCATATCTTCATAGGTTGATATAGTCCATTTAATTATTATCCTAAACACCGAAAATGGCGGAAAAAAAAAAAAACAATCATTGGCCTATCAAGTTCTCTATCAAGCAATGAAAAGGACACCATAAAAGGCAAAAACAAATCATTCTCTAGATTACATCAAGCAGTACATAAATTTTACTCACCACACAATTATACATCAGCAGTATACTAAGATAATACTTCGTATATTAATATGATCCACCCAACAAAAAGTACTTGTCATTCATCAGCTATAAGGTGATGCGGGTTTCACATGCATCATGTGCCAAAGTTTTGACGCTAAAAACTTCATTACACTATATTGCGATTTGCAGAACTACTCGGCAAAAAAGCCTCCTACATCCACAGATGCGTGATAACATGGATCTTATCATCTTGCTTATACATAAGCTGGTAAATGCTACACGGTTATTGGTCAGTTCTATTATCACCAGCAATTCAAATTTGAAATCTATAAATATAGGTTGCATCAGTTTCATGTTACAAGTTAACTGTTACTACTCAAAAATGGACAGAAGAAACTACAATTTCATCTGAAAGTGCAGTCAGAGAATTTTTCAATCTCTTTACGAAATTTAACATTAACAAAGCTTATTAAGTTCGGAAATCAGACCTTAATCCAGAAGAACTCTTAAATGCAGATCTTCAGAGAAATTCCATATCATTCAGAAATGATTCAGAATTTTCTGATTTGTGCTTCACAATCTTCAGAGGCAAGGTGAAGTGCCTGTGCCTAGTCCCGTTCTGTATCTTAGCAGTTGATGGATACTTCAGTAGTTAATTGCCTGCATCGCTTTCTAGATGTCGAAAATGTGATTTAAAAGGAGCCCTTTGTTATGGGCCTTATGGCACGCAATGATTTATCCATTAATGGAGCTGCTATACATCTGTACCGAAGAAAATATCATGTATCAATGATAAAAACATTTAGGCAAATTTTGGCTAATGAAGGGAATCTGTTCATTTTAAATTTGATCAGAATGGACTGCCTTAACATATCTTAAGCTAATTACTAGGCTAGATCTGGTGAGCGGAAGGAAAAACAACAACAACAAAAAAAATTCTCACCAAACTCGTTAAGGTTGTGGAACTAATATCCTGAAATTTATGCAAGAATTATAAAAACATTGGGCAAGGGGCATCACAGTGGTCTCCTAATTGTTTTATGTTAGCATAGTTCTTTAGGCTAATATGCATGTAGTTTATGACTTATGAATTCAAGACATAACAGCGAAAAAGCTTTTAGCAAGGAACTTGCCCCTGAACAGATACAGCAAGAACAGGCTGACAATACTTTAGAGTGTGGACATGTGGTTTATGTTGGAAAAGTCAAGAAAATTAGAGAAATTTGCTAGTATAATTTTAGACTTTTAAATAAAACTGGGTGTACATTAGTAATTGTACTCCGGTATAAAGTTAACCTAAAGTGATCAAAAGTTACTGTTATAGACCCACCTGTGCAATCAGCCCAGTCAGCTAGGATGGCCCAAACACCAATTCGGGTCTATCAAAGGAGGCCCAAGCTGAGTGGACTTCACTTCAATTCCAACGGTAAAGAATGGGGAGCAAACAAAGTCAACAACAAAGCTGAAATAGGAAGGGGACATGAAGAACAGAGCATTTGGGTGGCAAGCCGAATCGGGAAAGAAGACAAGGAGCTCTAACCATGGAAGAGGGACACTTTTGTGTTATGTCTATTTTGCTTTTCTACTAGATGACAATCTTAATTAATATTAGGGCTTGTAATTGAGAGAAGAGCTGGAGTATTTAAACTAGTTTGTAAGAGAGTAGCCACCATCCAGAAAAATTGTGAGAAAACACTTGAGAGTAGTAGCCTCAAGCTACCATTGAGACTTATGGCCTTAAGCCATTGACTATCTTTTGTAATCATCAGTTTCCTTTATTAATTAATCTCATATTCAAGCCTTCCTCTAATTTGTGCTAAATTAATTAATTATAACTGTGTGCCAAAAAGTCAGTCTTTGACAGTTACCTCAATATAAATAAAAGTTACCTATGTTTTATTGATAAAGGTGCTCTTTCTAAGAGTAAAAATTAAATACTTATGTCTGAAGGGTAAATATATCAACCTTATAGAATTTATCTCATGGCCTATATACATTAAAATTATAAGTAGTAAGTAGTACTACCTCCGTTAATTATTATGTGCAACTTTGGAATATTTTATATCTCACAAATAATACCCCAAAGTTGCACATAATAATTAACGGAGGTTGTATTAGATTTTAAGTTAAGCATGTTAAAAGCTACGCGATAACTAATAGTTCGATATACACTAATTTTATTGTGAACAGGGCGTACACAAATTTTTTTGAATTTTTTTTTTAAAAAGAACCCTTGGGTAAATCTCTTTGGCAAGTCAAATCAAAGATATCTCCAAATATAACTAAAAGGGTTCTCCTTGATTTTTCCTTGGCTCAAGAACTCCATTAGAACCTCCACTAACATTCTTTCGACCCTTAGAAAGTAAACTTAACAATTATTGTGTGTGATAGTTGTACCAAAGGTCCAAAGTTAAAGAAGTTTGCTAAGAATAACTAGGACACATTAAAGGTTCTACAGCATAGATACTGATCAGAGGAGAAAGTTTAAGAGTGTGTATAAGAAATAGACTAACCTGGATTACAGCTCTGTATTAGAATTTCTTCATTGTGATTAAAGAGGGCACATGAGTCACAAAATAATCTCATCTCCACCACGGCGACCCAGCGTTGTAGATATGCTCACCGCTGTCCCAAGAGATTTGACAAGCTCGAAGACCAATAGCAACAGTGGGTTCCTTTCCATGCAAAGCAATCCAATTATCAATAGCAATATTTTTTTCATCCTCACTAGTATATTCTTCTTTACATTTTCCAAGAGGATTAATGTTTGGGGTGGCTTTTTCTGCAAGAGAAGCTGGCATGTACATAGAATCACCAATTATAGGTGCCCCACAAGCAGCAAATTGTGCTCGAATCTGCGCAGGAATATAATCGAATAGTTAACTACATATAGTTTCTTGACGGTTAACCACACGTCTAATGAAATTACCCAGAAAAGAAGCAAAAACAAGAGCAAGAGCAGAAGGAACAGAAACAATTGCATAAGAAATTCAATAATAATACAACAGACAGACACGAAATCACATATTCACATGTACTAAACAATGGGATATAGAAGGGCAAGCAAACAGACAGCAAAAAAGCAAAATTATATAAGAGTAACATGAATAAGAAAAATGCATATGTTCTCTGTAAAAAGATAAAGCCTCTCCACATTGTAGGGGTTCAGCTACAATTCTACATACATCTCAAATTTCCAAACCATTCCAAAAGAAGATTATGTTGTAACCATTATTTAAACAAAGGTACCAAAATGATCACATTTTGGAAAAATTTCACCACTTAAATGGATCAGTAATATGAATATGTTACAACAAAATTCTCCACCAACGGCCAACTGATGAGAAAGATTGCTATGAATCAATAAAACTTAAGACAAAAAAAATAGAAAACGAAGAGAAAAAGAGCATGAATTGGATAATTAATTTGGAATTACAGAATATAAAGGATAGTCTGGCTTCCAAGAGGCTTGATTCTCTCACAATGAACAATCTAAAATCTAAAGAAAACTCTCGTCAATTTTCAACTTCCTTTCTTTCCCACTGATTTGATTTATTTATACCCATCATCTTCTTCTTCGACCCACTAATAACTGAATAATAACACTTCTACAGTTCTACCTAAGATTAAATTCGCAATTTCTTTTAGATTTTTAACTTCCAACGTAGTGACTAGAAGTTCAATATTACATTCAACAAGAAACGGTCAATGAAGTTCAATATTTTCACAAGCAAAAATTGCAACAATGATAGCCGAGTATTTGAGAAGGAGGCATTTGAAAGGCTAGAATTGATGAGAAAAACAAAAGGTACCAATTAAATAATATTATTATGATCGCAAGTCAAAGTAATAGATAAATTAGCATATACTATATGGCGATCTATGATTATTTAACTTTTCTTGATTAGATTAGAAAATATGCTAAGACATGAGTTGATGAGTATGCAAGATTTTGAGTTGGCATGAAGCTCAGAGGCAGATCCAAACTCAAGCTCAGTGTATTTGAGAGATTAAATGCAAATACAAATTCCCAGCACTATATTTACACTAAATTTGTTGCAACTTCACAAGTGCGACCAGTAACGTAGCAGTTTCCATCTACTTCAAAATACTTTTACACGCACTTGCAACACTTACCTGGTGAGTCCGGCCAGTCAAAAGGTCAACAGTACACTCGTAAGCCAAATTCTCTACAGGCCATCCACAGTCTTCAATTTGATACTTTTCTCTGATGGAAGAGTTCGGCCAAGGAACTTCCTTACAATCCAATACTTCCAGCTGGCATAAGAGCCATCTATCAATATACTCTGCAACAGAAAAGCTCAGGACATTTATTATGACAAGTGCAGGAGGTCCTCTCTTCAGTTGAGTACAAAAGATGCACAGAAACCCTATTACTAAAATTCTTTTACCTACAACATGATAGTTAGGATGGGTCAAACAACTTATTAAATGCAATGAACAATAACTGTTAGCTACTCGCTGAAATATTTCCTGAGACTGAGGTACAAAGCTATCCCAAAGTATCCACAAAGAATCCCATCTATCTAATAATCCCTTTGTCCCACATTTAAGTTAACATCTAATTTTTGTGCAGAATTTAAGGAGGGAAAAACAGTGGAGAAAAAAGTGGGTAGTTGGCTATGTGACCCAACTTTACAAATAAAGAAAAATAACTTACATAAAATGATACTGATTTAATAGTAGGACACCGAACATCCAAAAATGGAAGATGTTAACTTAATTGTGGAGTAGCCAGTAACGGTAATTAAGTTATATGCAATTTTGCATGGAAAGTTAGATGGAAATGTCCATGGTAATGATACCAGGACAAGGCAAAAAGGCCAAGGTAAGACATAGGAAGGCATCTTAAGACATGATGATTAAGGATCAAGGATGGACCAAGGCATAAATGAGATGGTTCCGAACACCAAGTAGGACTCCCGGGGTCCTTTGGGAATCCCAAAAAGCACCTCGGTGTATTCTACATGAAATCGAACCCATTTTAGAGGCATTGGGATCCAATATCAAAAATTCACATAATTGTAGGGACGCTGGACGCATCTTGAGGTCATATAATGTTTTTTGAACCATATACGAACTTATTTGGCCACACATAAAAGCCCGTGGTGATCTATAGCCAATGGAAAGAGGCGTACACAAAAACAACAATATTGATTGTTTAAAGGCAAGTGGACAGCTCCAAACCACTAAAATGGACTCCCGAGATGTTATAGGGTCTATGGGAAACACCTCAATCTCTTTCCTTTTTGGGTTCAAAAAGTCTAAAATTGTCCAATAATGAAGGCTATAATCCATGCTTTTGGACCAATTTCGGAGGTTTCGAGACCCGGTATAAAAAAATCTCAATATTGTAGGAGATCATCCCGGGTCATATAATGTTGTTTGGAGACATATATGATCATTAGTTGGTCACATAAAGGCCCGTGGTGGCCTTTAGTTAATTAAGAGAGGCATGTATAGAAATGACTACATTGACGGTTTAAAGGCAAAGCACTCCAACCACCCAAATTAATCCCTAGGTGTCGTGGGGTGCATGAAAAGAACCCCGGTCACTTTTCTTATTAAGTATCTAATTATATTCATAACTTCCACTACCACTCAATACCACTTGGCTCACCTCTCTAAATGGTAATGAGTAGTGACAAAAATTTACAAAGAACAACACTTTCTTGGGGAAATAATTGCAGTTCTAAAAACATAGCCCTAAGACTTTTATTACTACTGCCAATTTGCAACCATTAATTACAACCATACTTTCCATATATTCAAGAATGATTACCTTCTGATATAAGTCGTGGAGCAAAATTAAAAGGACGCATGTAATGGGTATATATTCCACGAGGTACTGGTGCTGCAGCAAGTGCAAGGTAGAGCTTCTTAACCATTTTATCCTGATATTCACACACAAAGGGCTATATTAATATAAATTTATATAGATAGATAATAATACAGTAACACTTCAGAGCAAACAAAGATGATTGTTCTGGTGCTCCAGTAGCATGGACATAGAATTGCTGGGGATTTGCTGGACTGGAAGCTTAAACCACTTTCTTATTACTAAAGTGTGCGTCATCTAGGATAATTTGTATAATCTCATCATCTAAAAGATTTCATAGACTTACTCTAATCTTTTTGTGAAAAGTTGAGCAGTACTTCTTATTTCTGGCCAACACAACACTGCAAATGAGCCACAATTATTACAGAACAACTTTCACAAAAAAAAAAAAAAAAAAAAAAAAAAAAAAAAAAAAAACAAACAAACAGAAAATTGCATAACATTACCATCCTTCAGTACAATTATCAATTTGATGTGTAGTAAGGAGTGGATAAGTCAATCCCAGGGCACGAGTGGCAAAAGTTGCACAGCATTCTTCAATGTTATCTGAAGACCCTCCAACCTAAACAAAAGAAAATTAACACTTTAGAAGAAATCATTACTACGAGATTATTTGCCTATGTAGTGAGAAAATTGATGCAAAGCAAGTGGCATGCATGTATTTCACATGGATCATAAAAAGTAATAAAACATGCCTTTAAGTTAGCATTTCTTCTGTATTCAGAAACACATAAGGAAAAAATTAAACAAATACCAATTCAAAAAGTTGAAAGTTTGTAGCAGACACATAACAAGATAAAAACAAGTAGAGAAGATACATTGAACATAATTTTAAGGAACTCCAAGCTGTCACTGAGAAGCTTTAATTAAGAACTAAAGGTTATTAAACAAGACATCAACCACCAAGTAAAGCACAATAATACATCTAATATCAGGTGTTTCAAGTGAACTGATATATATGAAAAGAGTTATTGTTTACGGAAGGATACAGGCGACAATGCGACATGCTGCCATTTGAAGCCATATAAGAAATTAAGAAATTGTTATTGTTTATGCAAGGATACAAGAAAAATGCTGCCATTTGAAGTGAGGCTTCCAATTTCTTAATCATACAAATGTTATCATGGGGACAATGAGTAATTCTTCAGTATTTACTTACTGAGGTGCCAGCAGGTTTGTCCAGAACCACATAGGATTCAGTAACAGCTATAATCCTTGACTTCCAATCAATTTCATAGCACCTGATGAGAATGAATACAAGGTTCAATAACGTATAACAGTGAAAATTAAGTAAGTAGATACAGTAATCACACCTCAATCACCTTGGGAAGCGTTTTGGGTGTACATGAATGCGCAAGTAAGTTCCTACTTCAAAGGATTCCTCTGTGCAAGTTACTCGGAAGGTTTTTTGAGCTTCTCGGAAAGTTTTTCCCTTGATTGAACGTCTATGTAATAGTAGTTCAGGAGATGTAAATTGTTGATACAGTTGAACTTGTTCAGGGGTAGCTGTTACAGGAGGGTCTGGACATATAAGTGCATAATATACAGCTCCGAAATGGATGAGATCTGCAACGTACCTAAACAAACAGTTCACTTTCTTAATCATGTAACCCTATCCATTCATTGAACCAAGATAGGCTATTAAAAGAAAAACAAAGATCAGAAGACAGTAGCATCACTCACAATGGTGGAAGATCCAAACTTTTGCTAATGTATTCACAAACAGGGCTTTTTTCCAAGACAACCAGGTGCTCTATTCTTGGTGACAGATTTGTTGATGGACAGGGTAGTAAGCGGCTATATTCTGGATATCTGGAAAAAAAAAAAAAATTCAGAGTTAAATACTAATATTAGAGTATGCAAAGATTGGGGAAGAGATAGGGATTGCTCGGCAGCAATATAGTATGTCATAGTTGAAAATGTAGGCTGCATTTGTAGCACCCTACAAAAGTGTGATGGACCACCTTGTGACCTGACCCATACAAGTGTACACCCGGAGGTCCAAAGGTAGCAAGCCAAGAGTCAATGGTCAAGAAGTGGCAAACGATGAGAAAAGGGTAGCAGAAGAAGTCAGCAACATCAACAAAGAACAAGATGACAAAACCCATTAAGAAGCAACTAAGGAAAACAAGCAACAAGCTTCTAATATGTCTAATTATGGTTTTGCTATTTTAGCTAATGATCACATGTATCAACCTTAGGATTAATTCTATAAGTATGGTAGTAAACTTGGTAGTAGGTGCCAAAATTAGTGAGGAAACTCTTGAGAGATTTGCAACCTAAAGTTGCTTAGGAGATTGGCAGCCTCAGGTTGCTCACCTTGTAACCTTTTGACAGAAATTATCAATCAACAGTCAATCTTCTATTTCCATAATTATCAATTAATTACACTAGAATTTGCTAGTCTATTACAAAAAGCCTATTAGATGCATAAGCACCTTTAGAAATGGAGGATTAATAGTTCTGGTGAGAAGGATAATTCTTGGTCATCGAAATTTTAAACCAATCTTCTACACCCTACTAATTACATTAACTATATGTTCAAGTAGAACTTTTATAAAAGAGCACTTCAATACAAAATTTATCATTATGGGACTTCAAGTTGCATTTTTCAATAAAATTCAGCTAAACAATTCACAGTTTTTATTAATACAGTGAAAATGCAATCGCTCTCACCTATTGTTTGGTATGAGGGGTAGAGTACGTAACACACTCCATTTTCTTAGGGTAATTATAAGTCCATCAACACCTATATGTTACCCTCCTCAACCCTATGGCTATGGTAATAAAAACATTTCTCTCGTCGATCCCCACTTCAATACAACTCATACAAGGGATTCGTTTCCTTTATGTATACCAAAAAACCAATGATGATAGCACTTAACCTGCACTGAGATGTATTAAAACTCGGAAGGAAAACTATTGGGATTCCATTATTCTATTCTTAAATCCTTCATTAGGCTACAATGCAGCGGTCTTTCTTATTTCTTATCTAAAACATTATTTTCATCACCTACATAACAAAAAATACTACCAATCAACAAAATAAAAAACTAGTAATCAAGATTCCATCTTTATGCTTCTATTCACCAGCTATCCTTAATTTTAGGCTCAAGCACAATTGCCATTAAGAAAATTAATTAATCGATAAAAATGCTAATACTAATGAATGCCAATTAGCTTAGTACTCACTACCTCGATTGAATCCCGTCTACATCATAATTGCACTATATGGCTACCTAAACACCCAAATAAAGTTCATTCTAAACTAAAATTGGCAATTGAACACATTGCATCTCCTACCAAATGCAATCATACTTCAAAACTAAAACTTCAAATAAAATGGTATACACAAATAAATATAAACAAATTTAAACACCCAATAAAAATATGCAGTATATAAATTTTCTACCAAAATCATGAGAACCCTAAAAACAAAAAAAATGAATTTTTTTGCTAATTACCCATTAACAGAGGTAGTGGTAGAAGAAGCAACAGTCTCACTCTTAGAGATTGAAACTGGGCTAGTGATATTCGCTCTCACAAGCTTATTATAGCTAATAGAATGGGTAGCAGCTAACGTGCGCCGGAGAGTAGTCGGAGCTCCGATTAACCGGAAATGGGTTCCCCGGAAAGAAGAGAACCATGTGTTGATAAAGTTTGGCCCGAAATTTGAGGGTCCGAGTGACATTGGGTTCCCGGGCATTTTTTGTGGGTTTGTTTGTTTTGTCCCTTTCTTTCAACAAGAAAAGAAAGATGAACTTACCAATTTACTTGTATTTCTTTTTAAGGGTTCAAAATTTGGGTTCAAACATGAATTGTGAATTTGTGGGAGATTAATTTAAAGGAAAAGTAATAGACTAATAGGTGGTTGGATGAGTGTAGTGTTGATCGGTTGAACAAGTCATATATTTTTCTAGGATATTTTTATTTGATAATTTAGAGTCTATTAGACTCCGACTAATTTGAATTTGAGTAAAGTTAGACCTTAAGAATATGAAATACTCTTTTAACAAACAAAATTGTGTTGGGTTACTTTCTACTACACGTACCAATATAAACACTAGTTATTTTGTTGACATCTGATGCTCCAAAATGGTGACTAGGGACAAAGGAATTGGCAAGATTTCTTCAATGTGATTTTGTTGACAAGATTTCTTGAGAGCACAAACTAATCATCATGTGAGCATGCAAATGAATATTAGAGCAAAGCGTGAGCATGGAATTTGGCATTGAATGAACCAAAGGTAAGTGCCAAGTCCGAGCAAAGCAGTTATCGCGGCACAAAGTTTACAAGGCTAGAGAAGTTCAATAGTGATATTGGACAACCAACAATATTGTCAATAATAAATTGTCAAAATTTTATTTATCAGGGCTTAATTGTGCAATACAAATAGTTGTGATGAGTAAGAAAATCAAATTTAATAAAAATATACATCTCATTGTTCACCATTGTAAATTAACTTCAAACAATACATCTATTTTCTTCCTTACAAGAATACAAGCATTCACCTCATCCTCTGACAAACACAAAATGCAGGTATTGTTGAAATTCCTTCCTGAAGTCATGTTTAAGATGCAATTTACAGAACATATCACAAAAGCTTTCAGCTTACACTGCCTTAGGAGGTTATCCTGATGTAAATCACTAAACGCAGTCGAAAATCCCACAACCCTGCAAATCATATCTGACAGCGATCCCAACACTATCTATGACATATATATCAGAGACTGCTACCTCCTTCCTAAGGAAAAACACCCAATCACCTAGCAAAGGCCTTATCATGAAGACTACAGTGGTGGACATCAGCAAACCCATGTTTCATCAATATGGAGATCTTACTTTCTTAGAGCGCAGAAAATATCCTTATCTCCACCAAGGAGATCCAGCTTCATAGACTTGTTCACCATTATCCCATGAAATTTGACATGCTTGAAGGCCAATGGCTAAACTTGGCTCCTTTCCATGCAGAGAAATCCAATTTTCAGTAGCAATTCTTCTTTCATCCTCACATGAGTATTCTCTCTTGTATTTACCAAAGGGAGATACTCCAGGTTTGGTTAGCTCAGCAAGCGCAGCTGGCATATACATTGAATCACCAATTAAAGGAGCTCCACAAGCAGCAAGTTGTGCTCTGATCTGACCCAAAAATTAGGTGCACAAGTAAGTCCACAAGTTTCTTTCGGTGCACAGAGGGTGATTAACCTCACATCTCAATTTTCAAAGGAGATCAACAAGGGAAGTCGAACTAGGATATTGACGTCAGAACTGAATACTTGTATACTACACGAATGTATCCAAGTTTCCGACTAGCTAATCTACTAGTAGTTAATTTTTATGGTCTGAATAGTTGTGTCTTGAAGTTGAAATGAAGTCTTATAGTAACATGACATTGAGCGGTAGCAATACCTGATGAGTTCGTCCAGTCAAAAGATTGATTTTACATTCATATGCAAAAGTCTTGACAAGCCATCCGCAGTCTTTGATTTGATACTTTTCTTCAATGGTAGAGTTTGGCCAAGAAACTTCTTTGCAATCCAAAACTTCAAGCTGACATAATTGCCACCCTTTCTCATACTCTGCATTGAATGCACACTCTCAGCTTTATGCAAAAGTTACCTTCATTGAAATAGAGCCTAGCTACTTAACAGTTAACACAAGCTGTTATACAGAGCTTACAAACACTAATCCTATGTATCTGACACAATGTATTAAAAAAAAATAAAAAATCACTCCTATAAAGCATATTTGCATCCGAATACCACATCCACAATTACTTATGCTGCTGTACTACTGAACTTCATCATGAGGGAAGAAAGTCTGATCTTTCTTGTTTTCAGGAAAGAGACTCAAAAGAACTACTATTTACTAAACTTTTATTACTCTTACTCAATCACACTTAAAACTAGTTTGATGCCCATGCTACACAAGTAAATACTCCGTATAATTTATGGATTGATGCTTGAGGTGAAAAATACGAAAACACAGCTCTTATAATTGGTAAACATGTCTAAATGAGACATATAAAACTAAAAGTTGAAGGGAAATGGATCTTTTGGAAAGATAACATGTAATTTGAGGTTTCTATTACTTTCTCGTAGCTTCCTAGTTTCCATATATCTTATCCAAAAACGTTTCAATGAATCTACTAAAAATTTGAATTTCTGATATACTTCCTATTTATCTCCTCCAATATCAATCTATGCATCATATCTTTTTGCATGCAAAGCAATTGATTGGACAGAGAGGTGATATTTGACAACATTGCCTACAAAAGAGAGCAAGAACAACAAAGTTGCAAAAGTGGATGTCCCCACTTACACAGAAGGTCCTGGTGCTGTGATTCCGCCAAAAAAAAATTCTTTGAAGAAAAGGATCCATGCATTGTGAAGCATTCCAAAAAAACAAATATTTTATGTTTGAGACATGGAGGAAATATATAATACAAAGTATAAATTATTGTATGATTATAAAAAATGAAAAATTGGTGTTAATGAAAAAATTAGAGAGAAGACCTGATACGTAGAAGAAAGAGAAAGCATCGATTTCGGGCACATGGTTTTATACTAATATTTGTTGTACGACTGAAGAAATTTGATTGAGTTAATGAGTAATTTTATGTAAATAGGGATAAGGTGACATTGCTAATTTGCTACAGGAATTGAGGCCTCCTTAAATCTATGATCTGTAATGAGTTGTCTTATTATATTTAGCAAAAACTGGGCAAGTTTTTCAAGACATTACAGACAAATAATGTAGGACTCTTTCAACCAGAATTATATATTTGACAAATTTATGAAATGAGAATAACAGGCCTGATGTGTTGACATGTTTACCTTCAGAAACTATACGTGGAGCAAGCTTTGCCGGCTGCATGTAATGGGTGATAATTCCACAAGATATTGGAGCTGCAACGAGGGCAAGATAGATTTTCTTGACCTTCTTTTCCTTATGTAAAGCAAATGTACAATAAGATTAATTACAGGGTATCAGCTGAATGCTGAAAGATACTTTCAAAGACGTATTGCTGTGTTGGATGTTTAACTGCACCCAACATAGAAATTGAATTTCGGTCAGAAGTGTATTTGATTGTCCATTTTCTAAACAATAGCATTATATCACACAGGAAACTAATTTTATGGAACACAATAAACTTACTCTAAATTTTTCATGAAAGATAGAACTATATTCCTCAGTTCTGGCCATCACAACACTGAAATGAGTTTAGAGAGGTCACATACTGATGTAGGCAGCAATAAAGTTCAGTAAAATATATTTTGGCAACTGTCTACACATATTACCATCCTTCAGTGCAATTATCAATTTGATGTGTAGTCAAGAGTGGACTAGTCAATCCCAAAGCACGAGTAGCAAAATTTGCACAACTTTCTTCGATATTGTTGGAAGTACCTCCTACCTATTCAAACACAGAAGCATCACAGAAGATATCAGCTTAAAGATTGACAATAGGCATTTCGTAGGATTGCATCAGAAGATAATCATAGATTTAGTTAAAAGGGATGATTTGCATGACCACGGGCATGATCTTAACAAAATTAGGGATAAGCACAACTCATTTCTCTAATGAATGATAGGCGTCAACTCAATAATGCAAAGGCAGAGCGAGAAAGTGGTTAAAAATATTCTTAACAGCAAGAAAAGATCAGATCAGGCGCTTAAACTCCAAGCTCTATATTGGTTGAATAATACTCAATCTCATCAAGCCAGAGTCCAACAAACCATAGCTTGGAATGCATGCAGCTTTAAATTCTTCTCACCAGTTAAACACAACATAGTGGAGTGACAATGAGGAAAAATATTCATTTCTCCTAACTGCGTGACATCTATTCTCATTAATTCATCAAAAACGCACATACATCTTTTCATCAGAAGACTCTAAAGAACATAAGTAGAAGTTCCAAGATTTACATACAGAGGTGCCAGCAGGCTTGTCCAGAATCACATAATTGTCAGTAATGGCTATAATCCTCGACTTCCAATCAATTTCATAGCACCTGAAAAGAATTCAATGCCTGTATTACATACAATAAAAATTGCAAGCACCAAGAACTAAAAGTAACTTTATTCTTGAAAACCTTGGGAAGCGTCTTGGATGTACATAAACACGCAAGTAAGTTCCAACTTCAACATGTTCATTAACGTGAGTTATACGGAAAGTCTTTTGTGCTTCTGAAACAGTTTTCCCTTCAAGTGACTGCCTCTGTTTTAGAAGATGAGGTGAAGTAAATTTTTCGTATACTTTAACTTGCTCTGGAGTTGCAGTTGCTGGAGGCTTAGGATGCACAAGTGCATAATATACAGCTCCAAAATGGATAAGGTCAGCAACATACCTTCACAAATCATTAACTCAATTAGGGACCTCATCCCACTTCATCATCAACAAAAATGAATGCCATGAGGGGAAAAAAGAAGATGAAACCGTATAACAACACTTACAGTGGTGGGAGATTTAAAGTTCTGCTAATGTAATCACAAACAGGGCCTTCTTCTAAAACCACCAAGTGTTCAACTCTAGGTGGGTGATTGCTGTGATTTGAGGGAGGGCAGGGTAAAAGGCGATCATATTCTGGGTAGCTGAAAATTAGCATTGAAAGTCAGATGTGATGTCAGAAAAGCAAAGCTTGTAGCCATATATGTCTAAGTTGATTACTATCTGCTGAAAGCTCATGATTTACAGACATGGAAACTTGCAGAATCTTAAGAGAGATCTAAGAACTCACGCAAGCAAATAGAATGACTTATACATGTTATTGTCCTTTCAAAACCAGGAAGTAAATAAAGGGACAACATGAACCAAGTAGAGGGAATGGTAGAAACCACACATCTTCCCCAGTGACTAGACAAGCTAGTTGATTCAAATGTGCCCTTAAATGCACACACCCTATGTAGAAGATTGAAGCCAAAGAGGTTTCCTTTAACTAACTTTCATCAAAGGATAAGCAGTAAAAAAAATTAGTCTTAAAAAAAAAAAAAAAAATTGTCGTTTGAGAAGTCCCATGAGGAAATTGTTTTAGCATAAGTTCTTGTTTTGCAAGTCCCGAAGAACAAATTAATGGGTTGATAAGGAATTTCCAACGGATACATACATTAGCTATACAATAGTAGGCTTAATAATTACCTTGGAAGAATTAAAGTATTAAACATGCCCTCAAACAAGCTGATAACATTGGTAATACTAGTAGTCTAATGGCCTTGAAAATGGCAAACACCTATAAGGTAGTACACTGTAAGTACAATCCTATGGCGTGTTTCTGTCAGTTTTATTCTGTAACTCACAAAAACAAACAAAACAAAAAAAAAAAAATCTCCACAGAGCTATATGATGGCTTAATGTGCAAGCATCTCTACAGCTGATCATAGATTCCTTTGTCACTAAAGTGTTGATTAGACCACCTGCTAGTACTGGCTTCCCAATACTTCATGAGTTCATGCTAAAATGCTAAATAATTGAGTAACATGTTTAATGCTATTCATGATATATTCAAAACTATCCATCTACTCAAATCTTATAAAGTTATAATCAATTATAACCAACTTTCCTATGACTAATTTCATATTCGAGTAACACTACCTATTAACAGAAAACTAACAGACTTACAGTCCATTGTTGGAAAAAGAACACTTCTTTGAGTGCAAAAATCTGATTCACTCAAAATTCCTTCCCTTTAAACATCAAAGCTCAGAATTCAAGACTCAATGCTTCTAATTTACAACATTATGCTAATATATGTAGAATATATTCATAAATGTGCAATTAGGGGTTCAGAGTTACAAATTACAGTACAATTTTAATTGGGTAGTTGTTCAATTCTCAGATAAGAGGTTTCAAATTGAGGTAGATAACTTGTATAAAAATGTCAGAAAATCTCATTCAAATTTCACACAGCAAACTGCATTATCCATACTTAAGTTAAAAAAACAACAATAATTTATCAAGAATTAAGCGAATAAAATTAAAATTCTTGACTGAATAAATCACATTGGAGCTAAATCTGAGAAACCCATTTACATATTAATCCATATTATTAAATCAATAGTTATAAAAGAAATTGAAATAAGAGAATGATGAAATTTGGATTACCCATTAGCAAAGGTAGCAGAAGCAACACAGTTAACAACCCATTTGCCATTCTTGGTGGGGGTGCCTGCTAACGTGCGCCGCCGGAGAGTTGCCGGAGCTCCGATTACACGGGTATGGTTGCTCCGGATTCTGTGATATGGGGTTGCATAATTGGTTAAAATTGGCCTGAAATTCCCTGCCCTAATTGTAACCGGGTTTCCCAGCATAATTTGCACTGGAAAGAGCACAAAAGGTGCAGTAGAAATTCTAAGGGTCAATTGAGAAGAGGATAAGTGGAATTGTCAATTGAGTCTTGAATCAAGGTTGGCCCAAATCAAAATGGACTTGGGACACTTTATTCGTCGAACTTAAATCGTGTTGAACTTTCACTCTAACTGATTTTAACTCAAACTTGAAAAGGTATTATAGATAGTCTTAATGTTGACCTGACTTGATATTGATATGCCAGTACTAACTTAATTCTTAAACAGTAATGTTAAATTGTTAATGAATAATGATGCATTGATATACTTCGTAGATGAATCGAATTTGCTTCCTTTTTTCTTTAAATGGATGAACAATGCTTAGAACTAACAATGGGTTAGGTTGGGTTGATTTTGGGTTCGGTTTGGTATAAATAGGTTTAAGAGTCTCTTACTCCGAACTCAGCTTGTTAGTTTTAAATGGTTGAGATTCTTGAACAAAACTAACTTTTTGCTAATAGATCACCCTAAAAGTCGCTCTATTTAATATTTCTTAACTTTTAGGGAGAAAAAAATTGCACAATATGAACCTTTGTCTCATACGTTGAAAATTCACTCTTTTGTCCAATAAAAATGTCCAAATCTAAATCAATCCTAACAACAATAGTGTAAGGTCATGTTCTCTTCACCTTAAAAAATAATTTCAGTTCAGTAAAAATAATTTCAGTTCAGTAAAAATAATTTTAGTTCAGTAAAAATAAGTTCAGTTCAGCAAAATTCAGTTTTATTAAAGAAGAATTATAATAGAAAATCAGTAAAAATAATTTCAGCTCAGCAAAAATAATTTCAATTCAGTAAAATTAATTCAAGTTCAGTAAAAATAATTTAAGTTCAGCAAAAATAATTTCAGTTCAATAAAAATAATTTCAGTTCAGCAAAATTAAGGTGAATAGAACGGGGCCTAATTTAAAATTTGCCGAGAAATAATATAATGTGTTAAGTGAATCAACGGAGGTAATAATTGATTTTGACAAGTTATTCTCAAATTAGAAATTTCAACCTTATCATAATCCCTATAAGGGGCGTTTGGTTCGCAGAGTGGTATAGGTTTGGAATCAGGAATAGGGTTAAGGTGGTATCGAGTTGGAACTTGATACTTAATACTATGTGTTTGGTTCAATTCTGGAATGAAATATCATCCCCTTAATTTCATATATTTGATATTTAAGGGAATGGAATGAGCCAAACCCGCCTTCTCCCCAAGGTTTCTAAACCCTAATTAGTATACACTAGACCCTAGTGTAGGTACCATAACCTACACCCCCTACAAAACGCAGCGTTTTGCGTTTTTCCCCTACCCCCACAAACTACAGTAACTACCCCCACTAACCACGGTAAAAAAAAAAAACTATCCATATCAAATTATTCTCTCTCTAAAAACCATCTTCTTCATTTTTGTAGAATTTCTCTCTCATCAACACCGTCGAATCGGAACGAAATTCTCTTCAAATTATTGCAAAATTGCTTCAAAACACTTCATAATTACTTCAAATGTCTGATATTCGAGATGAAATTAAACAATCGCAGCAGCATTTTGATAAAGAGTAAGTAATTTTGTTCATTTGATTACGATTTTAGTACAATTTTTGTATGAAGCATAATTTTGGTTCTTTTCCTTGTGATTGTAGAGTGATTTTGCAAAAAAAACGCTTTAGAGAAGAACATGGAAGATAAAACTGGAAAATCAGAGCAAAATGTTACCAAAGAGTAAGTAATTTTGTTCATATTCTTGCGATGACAATTATAGTGCGATTTTATGTGTGAAACCTAATTTTTGTTCAATTTTTTGCAATTGTAGTATGATTTTGGAGAAAAATACTTCACAGACGAGTAATTTGTTGAAAATTTCTGAAGAAATGTATGAACCCTAACTTTTGTAAAACCTAATTTTTGTTAAAATTTTTTGCGATTGTAGTAATTGTTCTAAGATTTTACTGAAAATAACTAAAACATTAACAATTTATTAAATAAAACAGAGACGATGATGATGATGTACCTCTTCAGTCAAGAGTAGACAAATTGAAAAAAAACCGCCAAAATGATCCAATTGTAGATCCGGAACTTTTAAAAGATATTGACAAGTCAATTGGTACGGATTTAACAATGTCTCCACTACCAAGGTAATTAGTCATTTACAGAATATATTATGTTCATGTCTAATATGCTAGTTGTATTTGATAAAATTGGTTTTATCTTTGTTTAATATGTTATTTGTATATGATCATATTTGATACTCATAATGTTCATTTATAGATATAGTTATGATCATATATTTATATTTGTTCATATGAGTATTTATTGAGATTTAAAAACAAAAGTACATTTCATTGAAACATCATTGTATATGATCATATTTGATACTCATAATGTTCATTTATAGATATAATTATGATCATATATGTATATTTGTTCATTTGAGTAGTCATTGAGATTTAAATAACAAATATACATTTCATTAAATCATCATGCACATATATAAATATGATAATAATCATTTCAGTGATATGCATTCAAACTAATGTCATGTAATTAATTTATAATGTAGTGATGTGCCATTTAGAGTGATACACTTGCTTCAATTTAGAGATGGGAAATCTGAACCATTAACTCTAAAGAAGGTTATACAACAAAATGAATATGGTAATAGTTATGAAAGATACACTTTAAACAAGTAAGTTTATATGTATAAAATAATTGTTTTTACATTCAATTATTGTACATTGTATATATATACCAAACTTATTAGGTAATTCTTAAAATTTTAGTGAAAAAAAAAAGGTTCGAGTGAAATTTGTTATGTCAAAATCAAGACCACCAGAGACAAATCAAACAATAAGGTATAAAAGCTTTATACAAAATAACTAATTATCTTCTTCATTGTATAAATTAGTTCATACTTTAATATCATATTATATAAAATAATTCTGTTTTTTTTAAGTGAACAAAGTGAGAACATTCCTGCTACTAATGCAACAACTAAGAGTGTGTCTGCTACACATAACACAACTGACAAAGAGAGCAGGGATGAAAGGTATACTAATGATCAATTTTATATAAACAAATGTTCATTTTTATAACAGTATATTTTATGTACAATTTATGTGCATTTTTTATTTAAAGTATTTCTTAATATTGATTTCAGCAAGCAAGAAGAAGTTCAACCAAAAGTGCAAAGCAATCCAGTAAAGAATAGTCTTGGCCAAAAGTAAGAAAACTTAAATGTTCAATTTAGATAGACTATATGTTCATTTGAAAATCAGTACAAAAAAGTTTGCTCATGGCCAATAGTAATATAAGTTATATGTTCATTTTTTTATTTACTAATCAAAATTGTAAATTCAAACATATTTTTAATGAAATATCAGAAAACCCAAAGATGATTCAAGAATAACAACATTAAAGGACAAGATGCGAGAAATACATTTAGACATAGAGAGAAACCCAAAGTATGTTTAAATTTAAATAATTGAATTAATTTAATCAATTAATGAATATATTTCAAAGTTAATATCATACATTTACAGAAAGTACAAAGAATCGACAATCAGAATTATGAGAAATCTCAAAAGAATGGAAAAGGCAAGCAAGGAAATCAGGAAAGGTAAATGATCATATTTATTGAATATTTTTGTTTAATAGTCATAAATATCAATTTTAACAATACTATTACTTTTGAAGGTGAAGCAAAAAAGAAAGAAAAAGGGCCAATAGAAGAGAAAACTGTGGAAAAAGGTAAAAATTTTAAAATGTACATTTTTATTACAAAAAATGTTCATATTGGAAAAGCATAATATTAAATATTCAATAAGATTAAAAAAATTAAATTTTAACTAAATAAATTTTAATAGAAGTACAAGAAGGAAAAAAAGGGACTGAAAAAGAGAAAAGCCCTAAAGACAAAACTGTGGAAGATGTCTTTCCAAAGACAACAAATGTAGAAGGTAAAAATTTATAAATGTACATTTTTATTACATAAAATGTTCATATTGGATCTACATAATATTGAATGTTCAATAAGATTAAAAAAATATATAAATATTAACTAATTAAATTTTCATAGAAGGACAAGAGGGAAAAAAAGAGCCTGAAAAGGAGAAAATCCCTAAAGAGAAAACAGTGGAAGATGAGTCTACAAAGACAACAGATCCGAAAGGTAAATAGTGGAAAATGTACATATTCATTACCTGAAATGTTCATTTATATTGTATATAGTAAACTTTTGTCATCCAATTTAATAATGTTTATTTAATCTTTTATATTTGATCATTTCATATGCAGCACAAATTGCACCTGATTTTGTTCAAATTGAGGATGAAACTTATCTTCTAGATCAAGATGATGATAAAGTTTCCACAAAACTTAGTGAGGAGACAGCTCCATCATCACAAAAAAGTGATCAGTCAACCAAAATGAAAACAAGATACAAAATGGTTGCAAGGAAAAACAAAAACAAAAGCCTTGTTGTTGTGCCAAGTGGTAGAATTACAAGGAGCCAAGGTAATCATAATACTTTTCTGTTACACAATAAATATTACACTTTCAAATATACTAACATAAATTTTTTTAAAAACAATAGATGTTCTGTTAGATGAATCTAAAAAGGGAAGCCTGAAGAAGGATGTTGAGCCTGCTAAAGAAACCGCAAAAATAGGACAGAAGAGAAGAATGTCTACAAGGAATTTTCCTATTCAAAAGGAAGCTGATGCACCACCTCCAGCACCTACTCCAATAAAAAAAATGGCAGGTGCTCCTGCTGAATATCCTCCAGACCAAGGCAAAAAGGGTAAATGTTCAATCTTAATGTATAGAATGATCATTTATGATGGTATATCATTAATGTTCAATTTCAATATATAGGTGGGAAAAAGAAAACTCTAGAAGTGAAGAAAACTTCTAAGGTTGCTGGCAAAAGAAAAGCAGGTATATAATGATATATTATAAATGTTCAATTTCTATATATAGAATGATCATTTGAGAAAACAATTTTGTTCATTTTATCATTTGCTTACTGTACATTTTCAATACTTAAACAAAATTATATATTTAATTTTCAGATGTCAGTCCTGCCAAGAGAAATGCTGGAAAGAGAAAAAAAATACAAGAAGTAC